AGATGGGACCACAGACCTTGAAGTTGGCTTCCATCTCAGAGAAGACGCCCAGCTTTCCCCGGAGAGCAGTGCACACTAGGCTGCAGAGAGACAGGGTCATGCCTACAGCCACTTGGGCCTCTACTGCAGGCCCTGCCCCAAGGACCGCCTACAAGGTCACCTCTTGTGCAGGTCCAGAAGGTCCTTGTCAGCCACTAGCACCTTGAGCTCCTTCAAGTCCTGGAGAAATTCCTTGTCTAAGTCCATGTCCATGTCATCCATCTGCGAGTCTGTGAGGCCAGGAAGGGAGTTGGGGTAGGTGATAAAAACCCCTCCCTCGATAGCCTCAGCCTTTCCTCACCAACCACCCCAGGGGGCAGAAGAGGAAATGGAGTGGCCGAGATGGGGGAGTGACATGCCCCGGGCCACAGAGGCAATGGGACCTTTGTCTGCAGACAAGGCATGTGTGGGGAAAACATCCCATGAGCCGGGGGAGCCTGGGTGGGGGCCGTGAACACCAGTGGATGCCGGGAACTGGGGGCCTGTGGGAGAAACTATTGGTGGGGAACCAGGTCCTGAGGATGGGGAGGCGTCCAGGCACCTGGGACAGTGGGGGCCTCACCGACGGCTCCAAGGGTCCAGTTTTGGATCATGAGCTCAGCACAGAAGGCAAAGTCGCCGAAGCTCAGATACTGCAGTTTTTTCTTCCCTGTCTCAAAGCGGTTGTTAGCAAAGAAGACGATGGCTGCATAGTCCCTGCACAGAAGAGAGGACAGTCCTCTCAGGGCTTGAAATTCCTTCTTAGGAAGCAGCTCCCACCTGCAATCTCAACTGGGTGTCGGAGTTCTGGCCTCTCTCTGCCTTAAGTCACTGTGTGATGTGTCTCAAGTCACCTCTCTATGCCCCTCCTCATCTATGCAAAGAGAAGTTTCCAGCCCAAGTTTTCTAATGGCAGTGTGAGACCATAAGGGTAACAGTTACCATTTACTGAGCACTCCCTAAGTGTGGCACCTCTCAATAGCCCAACTGGAAATTGCTGGACTATGCTTTGAATCCAGATCAGTCTGGTCCAAAGATCAGACCAAGCTGGGTGCGGTGGCTCACGCCTGTAATCCCAACACTTTCGGAGGCTAAGGCAGGTGGCTCACTTAAGGTCAGGAGTTTAAGAGCAGCCTGGCCAACATGGTGAAACCGTCTCTACTAAAAATACAAAAATTAGCCAGGTGTGGTGGCACAGGCCTGTAATCCCAGCTACTTGGGAGGCTGGGGCAGGAGAACTGCTTGAACTGGGAGGCGGAGGTTGCACCATTGCACTCCAGTTTTACAAGAGTAAAACTGTCTCAAAAAAAGTAGAGGCCAAAAGTGGGATAATTATCCCCCCAGCATACTGAGGAGGTCAGAAGGGTTGGGGCAGGGAAACTGGACCAGCCTCAGAGCCCAGGGAAGTGGTGTGCAGGATGGGGAGGTGGCAGCTCCTCACCTGGCCAACCGGTCAGAGAGGAGGAAGTGCTGCTGAATATTGTCCACCAGGGAGCCCCGCATTTCCTCTACCACCTTGAAGACTCGCTTAAAGTTGTCAAACTGCAGGGCAGTTAGGGTAGGAGAGAGGACGGGTCAGAGTGCCCACCATGTCACTCACCCAATAAACCGCTTTTTGAACATTCCTCCCTTACCCACCCACATATCCGGTCAGCAGAGACTGATTTAGCATTTGTCATTCCTTCAATCAACTATTAGTTATTAGTACTTGTTATCAACTCAAATGCTTATCAGCTCCTGCTGTATCTTGCCCTGGATAAATGTTTACTCAATCTTGTCTCTAAATCCAACCCCATTTAAGCACCATGCTCTCTAGATCTTTAGGAGTTTGAATTGGAAGAGACTTTCCTGGCTAAGCCCCAGGAACTAAAAAAAATAAGTAAATGCTAAGCTATACACAGGAAGCTCACAGGAGATACAAAAGAAAGGCATCAAAGGCCCAGAAGGGTTACTTCTTCCTAGTATACCAAAAAGGCTGTGGAGAAGGTGGCATCTCACCTCCCGTCTTGGATTTCAAGGGGTAGATACTGCCAAGAACAGTACCCTCCAGGTAGAAGCAACATGAGTAAAGGAAAGCCTGGGGCTGGAGAAATGTAAGCTTAGAAATGTCTGCAGGAATGAGATCACAGGACAGTCCATAGGTTAAGGTCAAGGAGTGCAGCAGCCACCCAGGAGGCAGTGGGAGCCAATGGAAGAAGTTTATAAGCAGGGGTCTGATAAACTTTCAGGTCAGATCTAGGCTTCTGAAAGATCACTCTGGCCATAGAGTACGGGATAGCTTAGAAGGGGCAAAAGGGAGCTGGGCACAGTGGCTCATGCCTGTAATCCCAGGAGGATTTTGGGAGGCCAAGGCGGGTAATCACTTGAGGACAGGAGTTCAAGACAAGCGTAGCCAACATGGTGAAACTCTGTGTCTACTAGCAATACAAAAAGTAGCCAGGTGTGGTGGTGAGTGCCTGTAATCTCAGCGACTGCAAAGGCTGAGGCATGAAAATTGCTTGAACTGGGGGCAGGGGAGGAGACTGGAGGTTGCAGTGAGCCAAGATCATGCCACTGCACTCCAGCCTGGGCGACAGAGCAAGACCCTGTCATAAAACAAAAAGAAGGGGGAAAAGGGGAAAGGAGGAGAAGACTAGGTATGAAGCTGCTGCCACAATCAGAGGCTGGAGCTGCAGCAGTGGCCAAAGGGAAGGAGTGACGTACAGATGGCATGCCGGGCCCGTGTAGGTGCAGTGCCCACCTGTCTCCGGCAGCTCTTGAGGGTGATGCCTGTTTTGGTGCTGATATCATCCAGGTCTTTCTTGGTGCCTTTGGACAGCTTCTTGCCCAGCACCTCCCGAACGAAGGCCTCGTCAAAGGCATAGTACCTTATGAAGTCAGAGAACACCACTAACCCGCCATAAAAGAGAGAAAAGCAGGCCTGGCAGGGCCTGGGTCTGACCCCTTCTGCTCTCAACTTTCTGATGGCTGGGTAAGTCCCATCCCTCCCCGGGCCTGTTTCAGCATGCAAAATGGATATACAGTCAGCCTGGTTGACGTCCCCCCCATCCCACAGGGTGAGCACCTCTCGATGAGTAGCGCCTGCCGGGAGGGCGGGATCTGGAAGATGAGCTGGTGCAGTAGCTTGGGCGGTGCGTGCAGCAGCCGCTCCAGCATGTGGAAGGTGCGGTAGTGGTCCATAGTGTCGCTCTGCAGCACCGCTGCCGTGGCGCCCGTCTGCTCCAGGATTCCGGAGCGCACCCGCAGGGCCACCGCGTCGGTCACTGGAAAGTGTGGGCTTGCATCAGGCCCCGCCCCGCCGACGCCAGAGGCCCTTCAGGGATTCCATCCCCGATCATATAAAACCCTTTATTCCCAGGCGGCTGCCCAGTTCCCTAAAGGATGCCCAAGTCCAAGCCCCGCCCCGTCTCCAATTCAAAACAACCGCTCCGCGGACGGGTTCCCCCACATGCTCCTTACGGACCCGAGTAACCATCTAGCCAGAGGCGATACACGTCCTCGTCGATAAGGGTCGTGTTCCCCACAAAGATGTCCAGCTCGCTAGTCATGGCTACGCCCGGGGCCGCAGCGCCCCGAGCAGGACAGAGCACTGCTGGGACCTGGCGCGCCGCCCCCGGGCCACTTCCGGGAGCGCTGAGATTCCGCTCCGGGCACCCGGACCCAGCATAGGATCACTTCCGGGACACAGCCAGTGAGAGCGGGGGACGCGGGGGGAGCGGTGAGGGAAGAGAGGGAGAGGCCTGCGCCGAGGAGCAGCGCCTCCTCCCGCCGGGAGGGGGAGTCCTGGGCTCCTGCGGGTTGTCGCCCCCAAGTCCTCTGCCGGAGCGCGTCTGCCGGGAGTGCCTCCTCTTCGTCTCCACGGTCCCCGCAGCCTCTCCCCTCACTTCCTCCTGGCTTTTCTCCCACCTCCTATGCCCTTTTTGGGACCTCCTAAGTTTGACCTGTATCCTAAAGTTAGGAGTTTCACAGGGCTCTATCCAAAATCTCTTCTCCGCAAAAGGGTGTATGGCCCGACTTCCTCGGGCTCTTGCTGGAGACCCCTCTGTCCATCCTGTGCATAAGCACCTCTCCTGGGCTTGGGGCACCTGCTCCTACCTTGGTTTTAACCACACCCGCACCCCCAGGAGCTACTGACGTCTAATTCTGCCCCTCGGAGCTCTTCCTGGAAGTCCACATCCGGCGGGGCCGCCCATCGGCCAAGTCTGTCCACACTGTCTTCCCGTAAGCCCCTCAGAAGCTCAACATATTCTAGCCAGACCTCTCTCGCTCTCCCCATCTGTTTCTTTCCTGCGTCCCTATCTCAGTGACAAGCCTAACATCCACCAGTTTTCATACGAGAAACCTGGGCGTTCTCCCAGACTCCTCTCTCTCCACATTCAGTTCGGCTGATTTGCCTCAGGAATATTTCTAGTATCTGTTTGTTCTCTCCACCGTCACTGACGCTGCCCCAGCCGTCTTTCTGCTTAGCTCGAATCTCCCTGCCTGTGTCCCCTCCCCGCAGGATCCGGCCCACACAGAGCAGCCCAATCTTTTTAAATGCATATTTTCAAATGTTACTCCCTTAACATCCTTACTGGCCTTTGGAAACGCTCCAACCTGGTACTGAAAGTTCTTAAGAATCTGGCTTTTGCCTACCCTTGAAGCCTCACTCTCTCAGCATTTTCTCCACACCTGTGCTTTTCAAAAATCATCAAGCTATCCTCATTGTTCCTAAAGCAGCTAGGCTCTTTCAGGCACCGGTGTCTTTCACCATGCTGTTCTCTCTCCCTGAAATAGCTCTTTCCTTGGCAAAGTCCTGTGCATCTACCAGAGCCTCTTGGATAGCATCTCTTTTGAGAACCCACTTAAGGACCCTCAGACCATACTCCCCACCCCCCATTTGTTTCTTGCTTAACACAGCTTGTCTCCCCAGATAGACTGCGACGCACTTGAGGACGGAATCAGTATTTTGGTTAAATTTATTTTTGTATGAGGCTTGCACATAAAAAACGTTTATTGAGCAAACGAATCCTGTATGTTCTTCCCCCAAGGCAGGAAACGCTCCCTGGGAGGGAGAGTAGTCTAATGGTGAGCTAGGAAGTTTGGACTCAGGGTTCCGAGGAACCGGGATTGATCCTCAGTGAGCCAAGACTTCGGAATTTGACCAAAGGTAATGAGGGACTGGAGACCGGTCCATCTGACTTCCGTCGGGGATGGACGGGAGTCAGGAGGCAGACGCCTGCATCTTGGTTCTCACAAGAGCCGAGAGGCCTAGGCTCGAGCTTAGGGCGATCCGGAACTTGGAGGTTCGAAGCGCCCAGTTTCAGCTTCAGACGGAGGGCAATGATTCGGGGGTTCCTTGACATCGGGAGTCAGTAACACCCGGAGTGGGTGGGGAAGGGGCCCTCAGAGCTCAGGCCCCGCCCCTTTCCGGGGGCGTTTCACCGGATTGGTTGTCCTTCCATAACGTCATGCGGCTCCGCCCCGGCGCGCGCGCCCCGCCGCGTGCCCAGCCCAGGTAGCTGCAGCAGCCTACGCTGCCTTGGCCACTGACTGCCGCGCGAGGAGCAGGAGCCGGAGCCCGAGCCTGACCGGCGCCGGGCCCGACTTGGGGCTCCTGGGCCGCGGCGGCGGGCGGGCGATGCTCCAGCGGCCTGACCAGCCATGGAGGCCGAGGCAGGCGGCCTGGAGGAGCTGACGGACGAGGAGATGGCGGCGCTAGGCAAGGAAGAGCTGGTGCGGCGCCTGCGGCGGGAGGAGGCGGCGCGCCTGGCGGCACTGGTGCAGCGCGGCCGCCTCATGCAGGAGGTGAATCGGCAGCTGCAGGGCCACCTGGGCGAGATCCGCGAGCTCAAGCAGCTCAACCGGCGCCTGCAGGCAGAAAACCGTGAGCTGCGCGACCTCTGCTGCTTCCTGGACTCGGAGCGCCAGCGCGGGCGGCGCGCCGCGCGCCAGTGGCAGCTCTTCGGGACCCAAGCATCCCGGGCAGTGCGCGAGGACCTGGGCGGCTGCTGGCAGAAGCTGGCCGAGCTGGAGGGCCGCCAGGAGGAGCTGCTGCGGGAGAACCTGGCCCTTAAGGAGCTCTGCCTGGCGTTGGGCGAGGAGTGGGGCCCCCGCGGCGGCCCTGGAGGCGCTGGGGGCTCAGGCGCCGGGCCAGCACCCGAGCTTGCCCTGCCCCCGTGTGGGCCCCGCGACCTAGGCGATGGAAGCTCCAGCACCGGCAGCGTGGGCAGTCCGGATCAGTTGCCGCTGGCCTGTTCCCCCGATGACTGAAGGCACTGCTTCCTCCACGCCGACGCCCGCCCTGATTGCTCCCCGAGCCCTGGAACTGCTGTGCACCTCGGGACCTGGACGCCGTCCTGGCTGCGCAGGAGGGGCCACTGGCATGGACTAAGAAATCCTGACACCGAGGAGGGCCCCTCGCTCTTGCTGGCAGGGCAGCAGGGGGACTGAAGGCTGGAGTGGAGGGACTTGCTGGGGGTTGGATTGGGGTAATAAACCGGGACGGAAGCGGAGCCCTTGGCCTGGGCAGCGTCTGTTTGGTATTCGCTGGGGTTGGGGCGAGGGTGGGGCACTGAAACAGTACCATTCCCATCCAGAGGGACTGCAGAACTAATGATCCCCTCATTACCTCGAGCCAGTGGTAAACCAGACTTCCCCGATCGGGTGCCGGGACCCGCCATAATCCGGCCCCTGAAGTGGCTCCAGCTCCCTTCCCGGCTCCTTCCTGTCCAAGACAATGGGGCAGGAAGCAGGTGCTGGGGGCCTAGAACCACTCGGCTGCCTTCTCTGAGGCTGGAAGGGGCATAAGAGCGCCCCCTCCCCCTCCCACGAAGGTACAGGCAGCAGCACTATGGGCCCCGACGGGGAGAGGGACAAGCCTCTTCGCTTTTACCCCAGAGGACTCTCTCCTCTCAGTCCTGGAGATGGGGCCGAGCCGATGTAGCTTTACTTGTCAGATAAGACAAAGTCCAAAAATATCGAAAAATTTGTCCAAGGTCATGCAGTGAGTCTGTAGAGCTACGGCTGGGAACTAGGGTTCCAGATACTCTCCCGTTGGCCTCTGGGTCCAGTGAGGCACCCAAGCCACGGCTTCCAGCCTTTTATTCCATTTTGGTAGATTTGTATAAAAATACTCTCTTTAGGAAAATAAATAGCAGCTGCCCTCCCTATGGAGGCTTGGATTCCCTGGAGCTAAAGGCTTCTCAGAGCTGAGATCTGCAGATCAGCTCGTCACCGAAGCCTTGGGCGCCTCCTGAGCTGTGTGGTTCAGGAGGGGCCGGCAGAATGCCCTGGTCCAATCACCTGCTGCTGCTGGCAGTGGGGCTGGTGAGTTAGTGTTCTAGGTGGGTAAAGTGGCACCTTCTGTCGGGGGTAGGGTTGGGTAGATGATCACAGGAAGAGAGAGGGTGACAGAAAATGTGGCAGTGGTCTGGAAGGGGTTAGGGCTCCAGAGGACCTCTAAGGATCTACAAAGTCTCTGGGCTGCCGGGATTCCTCTGGCACAAATGGGAAATACTTTGTTTCTGATTTAGTGCAAATTGTGCTAGAGAGGCCAGCTCTAGAGAAACAGTGGGCAGCTTTGGTGGCCTCAAGTTGGCTCTACTGTGAAGCACAATATGATCAGTCTTATTAGAGGGATGGAGAAGAAGCTGCTGGAGTTGGGTGTGGTGGGATACCGTCCAGGCCAGCTGGACTGGTGGGGGAAGGGGAGGAGACAATGGTTAGGGTGCTTCATAAAGCAAGGAGGGTTGGGGAGCCAAGGGGGTCAGAGGATGGGTCTCCGCTGCTGCTGCTACTCTTGCGATGAGCTGAGGCACAGGGCTCAGGAGTGCTGGGGTAGGTGAAGACCAGGCTGGGAGTAAAAGGAGTTAGGGAGGGTGTGGTCATGAGTGTGGGGGTGTGCAGTGCCTCAGGTTCAAGCACAGGCCCTGGGGAAAGGGAGATACAAGGTACAGGGCGGCAGGATGCTGGCGGGCTGCTGGTGCGCCTGGTACTGCCTGTGTCCCCCTCCTTGTCTCCTTCAGGGATTTTGCAGATGGGTCGGTGGGCTTCTAGCACCAGCTCCAGGCGCTCCTTCTGCTTCTGCAGCTCCTCAATCTCTCGCTGCAGCCCGGATTTCTCATCTTCCAGTTTGTCAGTCTCCTGTAGATCAGGAGAGGAGTCAGGAAGGTGAGGGCTGAATACCCCAGAGCCTCAGATGTTTGAACTCAGGGTTCTAAGGAGCTGGGGTTGGATGGGTGACGGAGAGTTTCTAGCAAGTCTGTACTGCAACTCCCATGAGCGCTTGGGAGAAAATGGGCACGACTCCCATCAGGCCCAGGCATTTTAGGAGATTGCTGGCACCAGGCAGTGGCTCAGGCCTGTAATCCCAGCACTTTGGGAGGCCAAGGTGGGCAGATCACTTGAGGCCATTTCGAGACTAGCCTGGCCAACATGGCAAAACGCTGTCTCTACTGAAAATACAAAAATTAGCCGAGTCGGGCAGTGGGTGCCTGTAGTCCCAGGTACTCAGAAGGCTGAAGCAGAAGTGCTTGAGCCTGGGAGGCAAATGTCACAGTGAGCCAAGATCACACCACTGCACTCCAGCCTGGGCAACAGAGCAAGACTGTCTCAAAAAAAAAAAAAGGAGATTGCTGGCTGAGCTTCAAGTGAGACCTGCTGCAGTCAATTTGTTTTTACTTTTTTTTGAGATGGAGCCTCACTCTGTCACCCAGACTGGAGTGCAATGGCATGTGCTTGGCTCACTGGGCTCACTGCAACCTCCCCCTCCCTGGTTCAAGCGATTCTTCTGCCTCAGCCTCCCAAGTATCTGGCACTACAGGTACATGCCACCACACTCGGCTAATTTTTGTACTTTTCGTAGAGACAGGGTTTCACGATGTTGGCCAGGCTAGTCTCACACTCCTGACCTCATGATCCACCCACGTCGGTCTCCCAAAGTGCTGGGATTACAGGCATGAACGACCACAACCTCTACCTCAGCCTCTGCCACCATGCCTGGCTAATTTTTTTTTTTTTTTTTTT